ATGATCACTTTCGGATGAAGAGAAATGTTTTGATTGGGAGCATAATTGAATGCTGCCATCTTCAAATCGGCCCATCTGTTTGCTTGATGTGCCTGAAATTGGCGCTGCCTTTCAGACCGCAGTCGATGTTCATGTTGTTCAGCTGCGGCTCTTGTGGCAGCCTGGATTCGTCGATTCGCCTCACGTCTGATGTTTGACTGTTCTTCTGTGTGTGCAGCTCGAAGTTCAGCCATTCTCATTCTGCTATCGTTGAGTCGGAGGCGCTGCCGCTGAGATGTTTCCGTAGCTCTTAGTTCAGAGCGCCTTTGACTCAACTCACTCAGTCGCACATCAGGCTCCACTGCTGTTTCATTTGCCCTTGACTGAGAAGTTCTGGTACGATTGGCTGCAAGGCGAGCTTCACGCTCTTCAGCAGTTTCCCTCTCTCGCACTTCTCTCATTCTCTTCGCATGAGGATTGGTCGTTCCAATAAGTGACCTTTTCGGCGGCATCGTAGTAACTATGAAAAAAAAACAGACAGTAAAAAGTAAGAATTATTGTATTTGTGCAATTTTTTCTCAATCAAACGTAATCAACTCCAGCGACTTCACAGATCAAGCATTGTGGTTTGACACGCAAAGAAGCGATAAGAAGCGTCATAGCTTTTGCAATGATAAGCTTCATTTTTGTGTTGCTTTGCTGCAACCGGCTACTCACTTTGCTCACCACATTGATTGAAGCTGTTTAACAGAAAATGTCTTCTTTTCTGGAGACACTTTCTGACAATCTTGACTGTAACTAAGTAAGTATCGTTTTACATTATTTCTGGTATTGACAAAAATTTGTGCGCAATCTCATGAAAAATTTTGACCCCTAATTGTTTAAACTGAGCATGTAACGAAGAAAGCATTGATTATAAGCGTAAATTGAGCACGCTTCCGTACAAAACTCGCTACAAAGCACTCATGGTCTCTTGCACGCTAAGGTTTCCGCATAAGATACATTTAGTACATCCATTCAAATGAGCAATTGAGACTCACATCAAGAACACTTCTCACTGCACTTCGTCAACAGAAGTTCACAATGAGACAAGCCAGCCTTGTTTACATACCCCTGTTTTGATAGCAAATGATAAGAATCATTTTTATTGCTGCAAATCAATAAATCGACAGAAGGACCCAACGAATCGCTGCAAAAAGTAGCCTATCATCTGCGCAAGGCTCGAAAACATATGTGTGTAAAGTTTCAGCTTAATCGGTTGAGCGGCGCGCGTTTCTACAACGCACATACCCTCCAAACTGACAATTTTTGAGGTTTATATATATATATATATATATATATATCGTCAGAAGTGCCCGGTAGAGAATCATGGTCAAAACTATTGAGACTGATCGACCTTACTCAAACATCATTATTCACACCCTCTAGATGCTTCGTCGTCATTGTTAACTGATCTATTGATAAGTCTGGATAAGTTAACTTGTGTAATCAAGTTAAAACTGGAGCAATGATAAACTGCTAGGACGTTCGCATTGACTTGTACTTCTTGTCTGGCCAGCTACTTCCGTTGTGGGGTGCTGCTCCAACATTAGAAGTTATCAACAGAATCGACACAAACAAGAATAAATATAAACTATAAAATAAACGCAACACTCAATGATATTACTTCACTATACGTATGCAGGTCACCTTTGGCAACAAGGGCATTCATTTAATCGTGACGACGGGACTGCGGTCTTCGCGCCCATAGGAACACAATCACACTCGTACGAAAAGGCATCACCTCATCCATCTCAGTCAATTCCATTGCCTAGATACTAATTATGTGAGCAGAAAAACCTTCGAGTAGGGAGGAAGTATAAGAAAATGCGGTTGTCGTGAGTGCGTGCATATCGCGCGCGGTCGCCCATCGTCACGATGATTAGAATGCCCTGTACCTTGCAAACAGAGTGATCGCGTAGACGAGCATCGTTGTTTCTGAGAATGACTCGAGCACCGTTGCAAACGATGTCTTAATAAGTTGAATGTGGGCTTAACAAATTATACCTGTGATTTGCCTCATCTGAGGTTTTTCACTTGAAAGGTGAAAACGAAATGAATTGTTTGAACAATGTATGCAGAGTCTTTCAGCCTTACAATTAGTATAGACAATACAAATAAGGTTGGTGCAAAAACTTTGATATTGGGTTTCACGCAATTTAACCATCGCTAGATCAGCCAGTGATGAGGCACATATAAGTAACAATCCAGAGAGTAAAAGTACAGTCGGTAAACGGTTTGGTTGCTTTCTCACAACTTTTCTGAGATAGGATTTGCGACAAGTTCCCCCACATTTATCAGATGCTCAGTGACTTCTTTGTATGAAATACCGAATACCCTAGTTTCGGGGATAAACCGCGCCCTGTTTGCTCTAAAGGCGAACAAGCCAAAAAATTGCCTGTCACCATGGGGCGCGTTAAGTGAGAGCAATGTGCGAGAAAGCGACCGCCTCTCGAGATATACAGTCTGCCCCAATCCGGACCAGACCGATAAGTCTGCGCGGCGTTTTGCGCTCGCAGCGCACTGGGCCTGCGCTGCGCTTGCGAGTGAGAGCCAGGGCATTTTGCCAGGTGTCAATCAATACCGCGGTCATCGGCCTAGATGTCGTATTTTTTGCGTTTCCGGTGGTTTTCTCGCCTATCAACGTGCATTTGATTTCATCATCCATTCTTATTGTTAGATGCTTGTGCTGATTACTTTATAGCCAAAGAGGTTTGCAAGAATAAGTTAGCTCATTTTTTATCCCTTTTGCTGCCTTATTCTTTGATTGTGGCGAATTATTTTTGCGAATGCTTGCATACTCATGCTAGGATTTTGCGAGTTTTGCTGTGGATCTTACTATGTTGTTTTGACCAAAAATTATTCAAGTGTGCAATGCCTAGATTTACTTTAAAAATATCTGTAAGCAGTTATTCCGATGAAAAAAACAAGGGAAATGGACGAAAACGCGAAAAGAATCCATCGAGTCTGAATTTGGCTGTATTGATTGATACCCGGACGCTGCGTTCGCATACGTAACGCAAAAATTAGGCGACGCGAGCTCCCGCAATGCCAATTTTGGCCTGTTTAGGACAGACTTTATGCGCAGTGACACCGTGGGACTGCTCAAGTTTCGAGCAAAGAGGGTGCGGCTTATACGCCTGAGAACAGGATACAAGATACTCGAAGAAGTCAGTTCGTTTTCTTTGAGGCTTACTGTAAAGGAGCAGTAAGGCTGTAATAATAGCTACTGGATGCGGTTTGACCTGTCATCCATGTTTGCGAAATGATAAATAGGATGGAATGATGAGAGCACTCTAGAGCATGAGTTGCACAGCAGAGGGTTTGAGTCATCAATATAAAAATTTCTTGGTTGCTCAAATGCTAAATTTGAGTTAGTGAGCCTCAATAAAACACTAGCCTGTCCAGACTTTTTAAATAGCATCAGACAGTAAGTTAGACCAATCAAAATTTTTTAAACGAAAAGTTCATAACCTCAGAACTTTTTTTCGCAGATATTGCTGGCAGATTTGGAAACAAGATTTCAAGATTTCTCTGCATCTCATGTTTTATGGTGCATCCTCCAGAATTGTTTCCATAGATACCATTAACGTTGTTGCCTTTCAATCGTTTTAACATGTAAACTCCAGCAAATATGAGGCGCTTGTTCAAAATTGACATACTGAAACGATCAAAAGGCAGCTACAGTTGATAGTCCCATGAGAACAACTCTGGGTGATGCAAGATTTATGCGTGCAAAGTGGTTACGGTCACCAAATATTCTTTCCTTGTCAGAACTAACGTATATATCACAGTTGTCTATCGCAGATACAGTTTTGGTGGATTTGATACCTGCGAGCGGGCGTCTCACAGTGAGGCAGGGTGCACAGACTTTGTTAGAAGAATCCCTAAATAGGCCACTGCTTCTAATGACTCGATACGGGCAGGGCCCGACACGCGTTGGTTTGGACCATTTTTGAAAACGAACTCCACCATGACTTGGCGAAAGTTTACGAAGTCTTTTTTGACGTAAAAGTCAGTGAACTCAGTTGGTCAACTCGTAAAACCTGACATGTTTGTGGTTTAATTTCCTCGGCGCTCCGCCCAGGACCTCTAAAAACGATATCCCCGTCGCTCCTAACCCTAAAAACGAAGTCTCGTCTGACCCCAGACCATCTTGGCGTAGGAGTGCTCAGCCCTGCTACGGGCACTCCTATGCCAAGAAAAGCACTCTCGAAAAACTTCCTGGAGTCCACTCAGCGCGCTGGACGAGTTCACATTATTCACTAATAAAGGGACAGAGGGAGGGACAATAGAAGGACATGTTGCTAAACGTGTACAGTCGGTTTCATCCCGGAATAGGCGGAACATTTCAAGAAAAGCAGCGCATGCGCACCGCTTGAGGCTTCGCGAGCGCCTGGCGATGGCATTTTGCCAAGCTAAGACTAAGGAGAATGAAGAGACGCAGACTTGGGTTCTCACCACGACACGGCGTACTGTAGCTGCGAAACGACGCGAACCGTTGCAACGCGGACGCCCGCCAGTCCAATTTCCGCCTAAAGCGGATCGAAACTTATTGTACGTTTAGCAACACGTCCCTCTACCTCGACTAGTGTAGCCACCGTGGCAGGGCGTAGATCGTCAAAACTTTTTAGAAGCGGGGTCTCGGAAGTTTTATAACCTTTGCATCAGTGGTGTTAAAGAGCTATAACCCAGGAAGACTGTAAGACCCAAGTTCTGACCCAAGTTTTTTACACCGCCTCTAGGAGAAGAAAAGTTTTCTGTCAGTACGCATAGGCTATGTTCTCATTTGTGCAACACTTGGAATAGTTCAGGCGATGATGTTTCTTTCGTAATCACGCATCTTACGCTAGATGTTGACTATAAGATTAGCTCCATCTTTTTCTTCAATCAGGCTCCAGTACTTTGTTTGAGGTTTTCATTACATACTAGCTCTATGAGAGTGCAATGAAGCTGTAATCGTGCAATAAAGCTGTATATTCGGACAGTAAAGCATTCATACAAATGTACAGAGGATAAAATTGATCAAGAATGCCATTGGAATATGGAACTGTCAATGATTCCAGCTGTGACCAGATCATTCCCAACATAAGCGAGGCCGGCGATCGCATGGGTGTGCCCACATAGAGCATGAAAACCAGCCTAAATACCATCTTGCACAATTTTTCGGCAAAGCTGGACACATCTAACCCTATGACTAGAATGAGGTGCTGCAAATACCAATTTACAAAGTAATCCAGTACCTTTGTACTTTGTACAGGACAGTCATAAAGCCTGACTGAACCATTGTCTCGCCCAACAACCAGTAAGTCTTTGGACGGCGACCGACAAACTATTGTAATACCTGGAAGAAACACTTGGATGTGGAGGAAGTAGGCCCGTAGAAATCATGGTCCTATGCCTGCCTTCAACTGCATGTGCAATGTATCCTGCCTCATATGATATCCTACAGTTTCCAGTAACCCATTCGACATCGCGAACAGTGGCATGGTCCACTAATTCCCCATTAATGGCCGACCCTGGGAAAGTCTTCTCTACTTGTGTAGTGTGTAGTCGACTATTAATTTTTTTCGCTTACAGTGATAAATGTGTCCTATTGTAGAGTTTGCTCGGATATACTGTGAGTTCACGTCCCAGTCTGGGAAGATGGCGAATGACGACAGTGGGCCTATCCTTGCTGTTTGATAGAGACGTTGCGGAGTTTCAAAACGGAAAATTGTGGCAAACAACTCCTAAAATTTTTTGAAATGTTGTTGAGCCTTTATACAAAAAAGCAAATATCGTCTTGTGTAACGCAATTGTCTCATAAAAACTGATTACTTATTGATAATTATTCGTAACTAGATTAATAGATTATTGAATAAATAGATTATTGTAATAGATTATTCATGGTAATTTCATTGGAAATTTGAGAGACTCACTTTTGTGGCCACGAATATTAGATCACCGCTTGGCGCGAACTGAATCGCGGTCACAGCTTGAGATGAGCCTGTCTGCTCGAATACAATTTCCATCGACGACAGGTCCATCACTTTCCATGTACCCGTGGCAAAACCGAGAGCCAAAAGTGAACCGGATGGGTTTACTGATGCACACGTGACGCTTTCCTGGAAGGAAGAAAAATTAAGGTTATGCAAATTGTCATGAGCGAGAGGATTCCCACTCCTAGCGTTCGTCGCCATTCCCTACGCTTAGTGGATGAGTTGTAACATCGAAGGCAACCATCAGCACTCGTTGTCACAAAGTGGTTCGGTTTCAAAGCCACACAAGAAGTCACGTCTTCCGCATCACCCGGAAAAGCAAGAATTGTTTGGAATTTCTCAACATTATGAATAGTTGGCTGTAAGCTTTTTCGGATCTCTGACGACATTACTTAGGTTAATATAATGTAGCTTTTCTTAAAAGAAGTTGCAGAGACTGATTACATAAATCTGGGCTGGCATCTGAATAGTGTTTTGCGTGCAAGATAAATCCGCCTAAAAAGAAGTTCAATTTTATGGAGAACGTGTTGCCGTTTTTGATGAAAACTTGTGTTACTGTAGATGTTCTGTTTTCTAACACATATTTCAGTTAAGCTCCATGATTCTGACTTCTACACTAAAGTGTAAGTTTTGGACTACGGTAAAGCGTTAGAGCATTCTTGTACTTTTATGAAGAAAACCAATATAGATATCACGGCAGAGAGGCCAGTCGTATAGAAATAGCAATCCTTCTAGAACTCACATCCACTATTCCCTCAAAACGAAGATTTTCATACTCATACAAAAACACAGAAGCTGCATTGTTCCCATTCATGTAGTTGCTTAGTACAAGCCCTTTCTATAACTGCAGATTTCCAGCTTTCAACAGGCCCTAGTTTTCGAAAACCAAATCTATATACAAATGGCGATCCTTCTTGAACTCACATCTACTATTTCCTCAAAGCCAGTCTCGAAGTCACCAGAATAGAGCGTGTTCCGCGATGTTCCTACGATGATCTTATCACCTACTGGGTTTAAGAGTACACGTGGAACCCCAGCATCATCTGGTAGCTGGAAGGAGCAATGGTGGAAAACACTAAGTTTCGAAGCTCTGGCTTCGCTCTTACAAGCTCCTCTCTTCGCTTGTTAGAAGCCAACTTACCTCAACAGGTCTTCGCCTACGCACTAAATCCGTAGTCTCCCATTCAGCAATGGTCCTATCCTTACCAGCACTGAGTAGCGTACCTTTTTTGCTGATGCATAGTGCAAATACACCGCCATGATGTACTACATGCGCCTCAATGAAAGGAATTTATTGCAAAGGCGTTCGGCATTTATGCATGAAGATACTCACCTGCTTTTTTGCTTTATATGTGGTAGGATCCCAGAGTGTTAGGGTCCCGTTTGAGTCACCCGTGATCACATCACCACTTCCAGCGAAGCACATGGATAGCACCGTTTTGGGCTTATCCTTACCCTAAATTAAATCAAAATAGCTATAAAAAAAGATTGTCGCAGAAAAATGGTTTTCGTTTTGTGACATCTTTTTAGATTGATCGCGATGCAATGATTTCTAATTGATGAAGTGTCAGAAAATTCTTACAAGTTTTCCTCCAACATAACTACAAAATCTGTCACTTGTATTTTAGTTACCCTACACATTTATAATTCAAAATTTGCTGCAAACTTAGTGAGAGTAATTTCAATAAGGCTCTACAACTTTATAGCTCGCGATTTTGGCTAGAGTCTATCAAAATAGCCAAATGAGGCCTTACTTCACAAAACTCAGGTAATGTGAGTCACATCGCTGTGTCTGATTTGATTAAGCTCAGTAAGAAATTTGTACTCTAGAGCAAGTTGCATGGGATACAACTTCGAAAATTGCCGAATTCTTGATGATGGTCTCGTGCTTCAAATCGAGTCCCCAAAACGAGAAATGTCCTTTGCCGCAGAGTACCAGAATATTTTTCAGACTTGGATGCCAGCCAATCGAAAACACTTGATCGTTCGCTCCCTGAAAAATTACTATTTCTTCTCAGTAGCTAATCTGAAGTAATCCCTTTTGTTGTTAACTAAACATAAGAAACATGTACTCTGGCACATAAAAGTCATTGAGCATCATATCTTGAATAACTCGAAACTGGCTATCACTCAGAGTGAGAGTTATTCAGTTTTTGAGAGGTAAGTAGGTACTGAAAAAAACAAATCGGGAATGGGCTGACGTGGGTTAAAAGCACAAGACGAAAACTTTTCATTGTCAAACATAGATAATTCTTCTATTTCTTCTGCTTGCAGCAGTCTCCATGAAAGAAAAAAATTTAGTGAAATGTCAACTAACTTTGGCTGTAGCCACTTTTGTTTCGCTCGCCCAGTTCCATATCGAAAGAGTGTGTTGGTAGGAGTCGTCGACACAAGCAAGTAGATTACCACCTGAAAAAATGCAATAATTTTACGATTAGTTATAGAAAAGGAACTCGTACCGTCTGCGACGGAGAAGGCTAGACATGACATAGCTTTTTCAAACATTGCTTTCGATCCTGACAAAATCTTCAGAGTGGATAGAGTCACGCTGTCCCAGATACGCACATGAGCCTAAAAAGTGATGGTAATTGTACACTTTGAGGTTCAGCAGTTCGTAAAGAAGTCACCTCCGTTAAAGCATTTTCCAGATCGGATTCGAGATCGGGAACGCTCACGTACGGGTCGCGCAGCTCGAGATCAGGGTAACGTTCTCGCTGATGTCGAGTTGTCTGTCCACTTGCTACTATGACTCGATTTGGATGGACGCATACGCTAAGAAGAAAAGGCCACATAGGGAAATTTTTGTTTTATAATTTTACGAAATCCTTTCAAGAAGAAGCTTAAAATTTTTCATAAGTGGTACAATGTACAACGGCAGTGACCTTTATGGGTTGCAGGTACGGATCTTTCTTGAGATGCATCTGTAGGGCATAAAAATCGTGACAACGGATCCTACTGCGGTCTTCATGCGCGTTCAAACTTCACAAGAGCATAAAGCGCCCAGAAAGCATCACTTGTGCAAAGCTTAGTCACAATTATTTAGTAGCTATCATTTGCATACAAAAATGTTGAGATGAAAGCACAGGAAGTGGATGATTTAGACTGCTTGAAATTCTTGAAACGTGCGCTGGCGTCATTGTCACGATTTTCTAAGTGACCTATACTTATAGGCGTTAACACAACATGAGTTCCCCTAATTTTCTTCTATAACATGGAGAGCTTTGAGAGCAGAAAAACGAAGATATGCCTCAGAGCTCATAGACTTCCAAAAAGGTTTTGGATGTTTGGACGTTTGAAAATGCTGGGTGAGCTCGGTTTCTGGAGACACTTTCAAAATTTTTTAAGAGCCTATCTAGAACATATTTCTTGTAGTGATTCCATTATTCATAACACTAAAAACAATGCACTCACATCGTTTCACACATGTAAGCACTCAATTGCCTTTTTTTGGAGAAGGGCTCAACCCTTCCGTTTCTCCTCAGTCGCCATTGCCTATAAACCCTCTTCCAGGTTAGCGTCACCTTTGCTCCTCCGCGCTCATTTCAACAAAACACGATTTTTGAACAATCGTCGTCGTTCGAAATACCAGCTATTCCAATATGACTACTCAATACATACTGAACAGCATGAAAATTGCCATCACCCTCAAAGGCGTTGTCACTTTTTCATTTCTCATCCCTCTACAGTTATTATATTACTGTAATACTTTATTACTACTGCTACTGCTAATATTTTTTATTCCATACTACTATGTGCTTGTCTTTCTGAATTCACACACAAGGAGTTTCTCAAAAGTTGCTCTAGAGTCACATATAAATCGGAGTTTTCAGCTCACCTCCTAATATCGCTAGTATGGTCCGTATAATGCCGCTGCGTATGGTCCTCTACATTATGTAACACAACTACTGAACCGGAAAAGTACAGCAACTCTCCTGTCGGCAGATGATGCACGTTGTTGCGCACGTCTTTACCTCGATAACCTATAACCATAGCTATTGCCGCATTTGAATCAGAGATGAGACAAAAGTTACCATAAGCCCATTCCAGCCGAGGCGGCAGAGACTGGGGAGCCGATTGGGTTGGAAGCGGATCAAAATTCTCCACAGATGTTGGGACTGGAACTGTTACCGTTCGTCCAGTAACTTGCAGTTGTAATACATGCGAAGACGCATTGAAAATCGGCTCTCGGCTGTTGCATCTGGAGATCCATAGCATTATTGGTAGCATGTCTTCTACATTTAAGAAGTTAGAAAGGAAAGGAAAGCTTGGCAAACTGAATGAATCAATGTGTAAACATATAAAGCTTAGAGTTCGATAGCGTTTGCATTCTATCTGCTAAAACAGCCATCATCACATTGTAACCGAGGTTTCGAATAGAAGATTATGTGTAGCGAAGCTGAGCTTAAGAAGCATAAGAAAGCAATATATGCAGCGAACTAAATAGATAAATCTCGCCTATTAAGCACGAAATTATTGAAATGTTATATTAAACAGTGGCTAGTCAGTTTGCGTACTTCTTTGCTAAATATCCAAGTTAGTAAGAGCAATTCTTTGATAACTCTGTAAGCCATAAAACACATGTTTAGGTTTAGCGCACCCAGTAGGGTCAAAGATGCGGAAGGCGGCTAATAAGTGTGACAGCACCAGTACAGAACAACACTTGAACACATGCGCAGAGAGCTAGCTTAAATGTGTTTAAACTTACCCGCTGTTCGTCCGAAGTCTCGGCGAAGTATAAAGAGTAGAAACCGATTCGCTTCTGCTGAAAGCGCACAACACTCATCACATCACACAAAAGCATGGGGATGATTAGAAACGCAATAATGTTGGCCAGGTGCTATTGTGTGAACAATTTTTTTGTAGTAAAGTAGATCCCTTGAAAAGTGCAATGATGGATGCTATCCTCAGTAATGTTTAAGGTTTTTTGGAAAGATTGGTCAAAGAGCCTTTTATTTCATAGCCTTTAACAACTTATTCGGATAAGAAGCAAGTTCAAATTGTGGCTAAATAACCTAACACACCAAAATCTAAGGCTAACTATAAGAATGAAAATAACAGGTGGCTTTGTATTTTATGACTAGCACTTTGGTGGGTTAAAGGAAGAATATAATGCCAAGAAATCGATTCAAAGTGGATGGTTCACAATGACGAAAGTTTATTTTGGAGCTGAAGGCTTTGAAGTGGTCACTAGCGAGACATTAATGAACGCAGCTTTCTGTTCAATTCTACACTATTTGTTGTAAATACGGAATTGTGGCATATACCAGACAATTGATTTGAATTCTTGACATTTGTGAATTTTGCAAAAGAAAAACCTTTATTTTTCTAAAACCTTTAAAACCTTTATTTTTCTATTACCTTTAAACCTTTATTTTTCTCTCTGGGTTATGGCCAGCTAGCCTTTGCAGGCGGGCTCGCTGGCCCCCAAACAGGGGGTATCGTTTTCGAAAGACGCATAAGATTTTGACCGCTAAAATTATTGATCTTCCTCGTCTAGAGTCATTTGGATGTCGACTTTATAGTTAAATAAATAAATAAATAAAAGAGCAAGGTCGAAGTTCGACATTTGAATTTTTCCACACAATAGTGCAAGTTTACGAAGCTTACTGCAGCAAGACTTTAATCTGCAGGCGTTCCCGTTTCCAAATGGCAATTGGGATATTACTATGATTCAGCGTAGGTATATAAAAAAGAAAAAAAGCACAGCACCCATCATTTGACAATGTTGCATACGGCATTTTGCAGGCTAGTTCTATATACTGACAAATTCAAATGCAAATACCTGCTTAAGTAAAAATAGAAAATAAAAGGCTGGAAAAGTGTGATTTCACGTAAATATTTTGCAAATAATGTAGTTCTCAAACAGGCACAACTTGGATTCAACTCATTGAATTTCAAAACTATAGACCCCCCCCCCGCCCATAGATAAACATATAAATAAAGCCACTCATGTCATTCACAGCACTGTGCAAATATATGGTGCATGCATGCAGCGAACGTGGCAAATGTGTTTTTTTTTGCAGGAGTGAGGGGAAGGAAGGACCATTTTTCTATAAAAGGTGTGAGCCAGTGAAGTTTCTCCAAAGAATTCTTGACGGAGCTCCCAGATTTTTGGTGGGCTGAGCCACACTCCAAACGATTTTCTATAATAATTTTTCACGAGAAAATGATTGGATAGAGTAACAGTGGATTTAATTCTCGTCCGTAGAGGACAGATTTGGAAAACTCAAGCTGACAATGAGCTGATCAGCTGACTTACGAGATGCCACGAGAGACAGTCCAAGTTGAATGATGTGGAGAGCCTGATATGATGGAAGGCGTTGTTCGCCCATTAGTAGTGCATTCAGAAACAATACTCATGGATGACGGCGACCCTTTGACATTTTGATGTGACATCCACTTTCGAAGAGGTGATCCTGTAAGTGCCACATCTGGGTCAAGGACTAGATACGAACTCAAAGAGTACTCTTTCAAAGTTTGTGGTTACAAAGACGGTTGTTGAGCAAATTCTAAAACCGGATTTTCGGCTTTTCCAAACATTTTGGGGGCTTCTCTAAAAATAGGCAAGACACTTTCGCTGGAATAAATTTTCGCTTCCCACTAAATGTTTTGCAGCCGTAAGCAGATAGCTAGGCTTCAACAGTTTTGTGTTGTTCTGAAGAATTATCTCTAATTCCTTTAGCTAATCCAAAATAATCGGCTTCTTAAAAAATTATGCTATATAGCAACAAATCGGACAGAAAATGCGCAAAGAAAAATGGTAAGCAGCGTACTTGCTCCATTTCTTCTCTACTTTTTTCCTCTTTTCGGTAATTTATAAATTACGCATAGATGGAAATTAGCTTTATGAGCATTTTTTGGATGTTCCTTTAAACAAATGAAAAGAGTTTATTGCAGAATGGGTCATCTTCAAAGATGATGAACTTTGAGATGATATTATTCTTGGGCGGCAGGCAACACAAAAAATTATGGCGAAGGATGACGTAAACAGGGAAAGTCTGTAAGTAAAAAGGCTACGAAAGTTACCTCTCACGCTTTTTCCAACAGAAACGTTGATTAGAGTGCTAGCGAGACCACTGGAGGACGATGTAGATGTATCCAAAGGAGGACACTGTAAGATGTATCTATAGGGACCTTAAACTTGCTAAACCGTCTTTACCTCTTCTATGCGGTCACCTCTAGAGCCGGTGGCATGGAGACTTCGCGAAAGGTGGCTACTACTGGTTGGGCTAGTTGCTTCTGATAGATTGTATGAGGATCTTGACACACTCTTTGGTAATGCCCGAGGTTTCGGCGATGCTGCAAAATTCATCTTTTGCCTGCTTTGGAATTTTCTTGCTCGTCTTTTTCTCTTGCAAACGAACCCTTTACCTTTGAAACCATTCGAGATAGCATTATTATTTTGAGCCGTGATTGATTCAAGCTTTGCTAAGCGACGCAACAGATCCGCCGACGTGGTTTGTAATAACATCTGCAAGAGAAGAAGAAACAGATTCGAAAATCGATGTGAAATCGAAATTGTGTAAACAAAAGTTTCGCAAATTCAAATTCTGCCGTTTTAATTTTTATGGAATCACAGAGAAGAAATTCTTGGGATTCTAAGACATTGTAAATTTGGGCAAATGTTGAATGGGCCAGCTTTTGACGCTTCAAAAAGTTGAGAGTAGAAAGTTGTCAAGTAAGAGTGATCTAATTTAGAGGTTTGGAGCAGTAAGAAAGAAGTTAGACTCATCTAAAAAAACCTATCGCTTTTGGCCTAAAATTCCAACTTTAGATCTTTTACTCAAATTGTAGAAGAATTGACTAAGATACGATGTCTAGTTAGAGCTTCCCTTGGAACTTCCACAAGTCAAGAAATGGCACCCACAAGTTCGCTTTGCTGCCTGTGGACGGTTTTCTCCAATTCAGCCACTCGCACCCGCAGTGACTCGTTCTCGGCGAGAAGTAGATCATCTGAACAGACAAATTTGAGAGGTGCTTCTTAAACAAAACCGCCACCTGGAGTTTCCTCACGTATCGGTTCGAACGGATCAAAATACATGTTGTTGATGAGTGCACTTTCATTTGGAAGCCCACATTCAATAATTGAACACTCCCCCCTTGCCAATTCATGCCACGCTATGCACACAATGCTGGCAAACACTGCACTTTTGCCAACTGTATTTGGATTTGCCATACATCGTGACTACTTTTCAGCTTCTGTGAACAATTTTTTGGGAGACAACTCCGTTCGCAAGTTTTTTATACTTGAAGAGGAAAAGTGCATTTGCTATTGCATCATTAATAATTTCTCTTTTTACTGCTACCTATACAGTTCAACGTAAAAATGGCGAGGGATTCTTCAGCAACGGTCATTTTGAATAATTTCATCATCTGATGACACAAGTTGACAAGAATTCTATGGGTTATGGTATGCAACATGCAATTCTCTGATATGCGTCATAGTTTTTATTACAACTCAGTACTTCAAACAACACCGAAAATTTCGCAAAGTTTTTGGGGAAGCTCCGCCGAATCACCTGCGGAAGTTCCGTAAAAGTGCTGCAGAGGTTGTAGAGGTAAAAATGGAGAAAGGAAATTTTTAAAATTCAGTGAAGCAGGTCCGTCTAAAAACTAAAAACTGTTCAATGAACTCCAAAACAGTCAATATCATGAATTTTTTTGACCTCCTCCCTGACTGAGCTTTTTCTTGGAATGTTATGATATTGGAAACAGCAGAAAACGGGAAAATTAATTTCTTGACATTTTTCTCAAAAAACATTGCTTCTCACTGAAGGGATCAATCAGTACTAACTGCTTAATTGAAAAAAAAGGTCAGAAAAATTGTGACATTGACTGTTTTGGATTTTATTGCATATTTTGCAGTTGTTTATTAGTAAGTAGTATCAGCAAACCTCAAAAGATCTTTTTTGGTAGGGAGTACGCAAGTGTCGTTAGATGGTTTACTAACCAGTTGTCTAGTGAGTTTTTATACTCACTCAATGGAAAAATCCATTTTTGAACTCACATAATTGAAAAATTGAAGGGAGTCATGCTTTCCGGCTGCACGAGTCGAAATAAAACTTGTCGAAATGAGACCGAATGTTGCCACTATCACGAATGAATTGTAAGAAATTATTCACTCCGATTGCTAGAGCGAGATCGAAAATTTTGGACGGAAGAAACTTTCTAGCAGGTGAATAATTGTACACATTTTTGGATTAGCTACTAGATCTATAGCGACTAGATAGTCGTAATGAGAATAGTGACTGGTTTGAGCTACATCTTCGTGCAAAAATATTCTCTGTTCTTCGCGTAAAACCTTGGAAAATTGGCAATACCCTACTTTTATTTTCGACGTCAGCTTGAAAAATGCACCTTTTCTTACTTTTCAAGAAGGGTGCGACAATACTTTCAGTTCAATCTACTATGATTTACGGAACTGACTTCAACTTTTTACGGCATGAAGGATCATCAATCGCTTTTTCTAACTGTAGAATTATGGTAGAATTTGCAGCGTTCTGCGTAAGCAGGATCCCAAAAGAAAATTTTAAAAATTCAAAAAGTTGTATCTTAGGGTTTTCATGCATGCCGATTTCAAGCATTGATTTTTTTGAATTGAGAAGTTTAACAACATAACTCATTGAGCACATGTTTTTTAGCTTTTTAGCTTGAAGGCGGCAATAATACTTTGAAATACCTACTGAATCTGCCTCGATTGTCAACAGCACTCGACGGTCTCGTAGTGTAGAAGCCATTTTGCACGTAAGGGTTGAACATCTTCTTACAGGAAGGTCGAAGAAGTATCCACAAAAGATACGTCAACAGAATAAGTGCTGGGATGAAAGCAAAAAGGATCACATTATCGGAGGACATGATTGCGAATCAAAAGATGAAAAAGCGTTTGCTAGGATCATAAAAAGAGAAGGACAAAGATATAAACGTTGCCGCTCAAGGCTCCACAAGATCGTTTGCAACGGAGAGCTCGTAGTGAAAACAAACAAAGTGTTTATAGCTGGAGCCAATTGAATGGAAGATTGGAAATGGGATGTATCAAGCTCTGCTGCAAGCCAGCTGCGCCTTGCAAGCACATATGGCACGAAAAATGAACCCGTCAAGGGGCTGGGACCTAAACAGAGCAAAAGGTCTGCCATTTCGCGATAGTGAGTGCTGGAGCCCCATAATCGCGACAAATGGAGCCACGACTTGCCAACTGAGTACAATGAATAGTTGAAGGCGCTCAGTGAAGGAATTGTTCGCATTCATACTCAAGTAGTCCTGGAGACATCCAAATAAACTGAGAAGCGGCGACAACTGCGCCCATAATTGTTCTCGCGTAAGTGTTTTGACAATTTTTGAAGGGCAACATCTCGATAAGCGATAAAATAGACTAATATTACCTCTGTAGTAAAGATAGCTCCGCAGAAAAGTTTTTGGTTTTTGTGCCACTTGGTAAATATGTGGTTATTGAAAGTATGGGAAGGGAGGGTGAGAAAAACAGAACCAGTTTTTCTTTGTCAAAAAGAGTGACTAAGCCACATCCTAAGAATTACGCATGGGCCAGCTTCACGCTTATAGCCTAAAATTTTGAGAAAGTCCACAGACCTAAGACAGGTCTCTTTGACAAAGCTCTCCCAGATTTAAGAGATCCAAAAAGTTATTTTTAGGCATAATAGGCAAGTTATTTGCTAGCGGAAAACCTCAAAAATTTCGCACCACAACCTCAAGGGGGGGGGAGGAGCATTGACAGTCCTGCGAAGCCTTCACAAGCACCTTTGCCATAATTCATTGTAGAGAAGTAAGAGGAATAAGCGACAAGGGAAAACGATTCCCCCACTTGTGAGACTTGATTTGTTTCGGTAGAAGTTGTAGTAAAGTTTTTCACATCATGTTACTTATGGATGCTAGCACAGAGCTGAACTTCAAGGTTGACATTGAAAAAATATGGGTGAGTGAACTGAATTGCTTACAATGTAAAATTTGTCAAAAGGGAATGGTGTACTAGTTGAAAGAATACCCTTTAAGTGGGTAAGATTTGTAATCACTTGCTCGAGGAGAAACGAAGTCTTGCTCAAAATATCAGGATGAACAGAAGTCAGAAGAAACCAGATTTCTAAGATAATTTTTGAAATCTGTAGAAAATTTTCAAATTGTGAAATATTTATTCACTGTAAAAATTGTAGAGAATTTACAATGCAGAATTCAGAAATTGAACAGGACTCGTGCGCAATTCAGTTGTTGAGGAGCATAAAAAAACATTCATTGTTCGATGAATTTTAGTGCATTGCTGAGTGCCCCATTGACTGACGGGTTCATATGCAGCTCATTTACTGTTGAGATTTTGAACCCCCGTTGAATCAGAAATCAGAATCATGAGAAGAGACGCAAGAGATTTTTGATAGTTTTTGCAACGACATTCCCTCTTTTAAGACTAAATGCGCCATTGAAGTACTATAAGATCTCAGTGCGCTTCCAAAAGGTCAAAGTTCTGAAGATAGAAGTAGACAACATATTTTGAGTTCCAGTTTGTCAACTGTTTCAGGTGAAAAAGTAGACAGTTACTTGTCACAAAACCGCAACTACTTTTCGCAGATTGTGTGAACCAAAGAAGAAATGTCTTTTGATTTTTCGAGGTTTTTCGGACAGAACCCAAAAAAGCGATTTAAAAAGCTCACATTCTTGAGAAATTCTCGACAAAATTCCATATGAATTCAACGGTTGCAAACCTATCTTTGTTAGCTTTGAATCCAAAGATATACTGTAGTTACTATTAGGTCATTCGCTAAACTACTCATCTGATCGACAAAATATTGACATTGTACTCAGCTAGAGATATTTTCATGTACGATGTCAAACAATCATGGTACGTGGAAATGATGTTTCAGAACAGCGCACAAGGTTGGATGTCGAAATTTTTTCCTCCAAATATTGTATTCTGCACAGGCTTATGATTACTGTAGATTGAAGGCTACACGCCTTTGTATCAGTTTTCATTCCGCGCTGACAGTTTTTGACTACACCAAATTAGGAAATTGTAGCATCTGCACACGGCCTTGATCACTTATTGCTAGAAAATAAAACGTGGCAAAGGAAAGCAAAAATGCTCCAAAAGGTTTCACAACAATAGCCTCGCAGAGGGTTATGTTGGTGCTAAAGTCCTGAAAGGTCTTCAATCTAGAGGGAGCGGAGAGTGCGACAAAAAAGCTCATTTGAAGCTGAGTAAAATTTCCACTCCAAATGAAATATAAAACTTGCAAAAGATACCTCAAGCCTTAGAAAAGGAATGCTAAGTTAGAATGATAGCACTTTAGAACCGGTTTCTAATCCTCGGATGTTGCATGCATTTCAAGGTATGCAATGAAGCGTGTGCGAGAATTGGATAGCAAACGATCATGTAGCCATTTTTTCGAGTTTGAATGCAAACGAGCGCTCATAAAACTTGGAGACAATCAAAAAACGTTGGAGATGCAGCAGACATAACTCGCACAGATCCGATAAGTCACCGACAATTTTGCAAGCGTCGATGTATCAATTTCCTATTGGAAAGTGACTGAGGCCTTCAGTGAAGCGTTGCTTGAACCGAGAAATTCAACTCTCATCATCCTGCCCAGACCGTACCCTTTCTGGCAAACCAGTCAGCGTTCTTGAGCTCGGGCACGCTGACTGGTTTGCTAGAGGAAGGAAGAGGTGAAACTAGTGCATCTTGGTAATCGTCAAGTTTGCAGAAATCAACGTCATTTATTAAGCTTTGCCTTCAGAAAGTCGTTTCGGAAATGATCTCTACTTTCAAAGTTTTTAATTTCAAGTTCCTCAAATTCACCAAGTTGGGGAGAGAGAAAGGGTCGGGGCAGAGGTAGGGGGGGGGGAGAGGGGAGGGGAGAGGGGAGTTCTTTGCTCCACTAGTCTGCTGTGTGAAGCAACGCTTTCGACTACTAAAATCTTTTAAATATCTGTTCATTTAAAAAGATTGTTATTGCTTGGAAATTGAAAGTTGCTCATCCATCAGGTATCATTTAAGCTCGCCGGTTCCCAAAAGCTTCAACACAAGCAGAAGAACCCGCC